TTAATAAAAATATAATTAAAAAGGAAGTAAACTGTAACCAACAGAGCACTCAGTATTCTGGGAAGTTTGTGTGCATTGGGAATCATATTTTTTTCAAATAAAGCCACGGTAACACTCAGTTTACATACAGCACACAGTGACAATGACATGAATATGACAGTGGGCAAATGCATAAATATAATTTGAAATCACGAATTTAATGTTTAAAGCATTCAATTTGTATGGACCGAAAGTCACGCAGAGAACACGCGATCATGCAGATCACTTCACAAGATCTCACAACTGGATTCGACTAAGTTTGCAAGGTTTGTGAAATAAAATTTTCATTAGCCATTCAAAGATTTGTTTAAATGATGGCAAACGAGAAAGTATTATAATGTTTGCCTTTCTATTACTAATAATATAAAAGCAATCGTTATAATACTTTTTGTATACATTTTAATTCTTTTGTTTAACAGTTCTATCGGATTATCAGACAGACTTCTATCCGTATTAGACACAACTGTTAATGACGACGGCAAACAAGAGGGAGAATGTGAGCACTGAGCACTGTGTGCTTAGGCGCTGCCGCTCTCAGCGCCGTCAAAATAAAAGTCCCACCTCGAACGCATCGGCCAAACAGAAAAACTTATCGGCCCATGCCGATATTTGAAAAATGCCAAATATCGGCCGATATCGGCCTTGGCGATATATCGGTCGACCACTATTCTAAAGTAGCTATTTCTGCGAGAACGAATGTCTATGAAATGTACTCTAATATCATAAACCATAAAATTTAGTCAGCTTTCTACTATGGTTCATTTTCATAATAGGTAAACACAGGTCACAAGTTAACACAGTCACATTTCCTTTATTCAGCCAGCCGCATAATGTGACGCAGAGAGTAAAATCCTGTCTTCAATCCAGAAATCTGCGGCTGAACCAGTGCAGTTCGGTAGCTCAGTGGTTCATTACTGGCGTCTCACAGCGCGGCGTCTTTTAGCATGTATTCGAAGCCCATGCCAAACAGACTTTTTTGTTTATTTTCCGTACTTAAGCCACTACGGGCAATCAAACCAATAATTTGTAATCTTTACAAGAATATCAAAATCATGTAATGAGCAAGTGTGCATTTATTAGACAGCTTAATATCACGTCAGTTTGTGCTTTCAGAATCGGCTAATCTGCCGCAGTCATTCCATCACATCTGGAGCGGAGACATGAACCAGGAAGTTGGTCACCAGATATTCTCGCATAGCCAGACCTTCAGACTGACGGCTGAAGGTCTGGAATCCATGGCTGCATCCGAAAACTTAGGCAGCTGACTTGCTGCCTCACTGCCGTATGAGGCAATGACTTTGCTCATGGAATGCTGCCTCCGAAGGCAGCATTTTAGAGTTTTCGGACGCAGCCCATGACAGCTTTCATTGGCCAAGGCATGTCAAACAACCAATCACAGTTCGATTTGTTCAGCGTCACGTTTCGGAGCGTGTAAAACTCTCGGACGTATTTTAAAGATTCTATGCCGCGAACTTTAAATATTTCACATACTTTTGAGAATCCAGCGTTTAGTTGATCCTGATAAGCCCTAGTCGTCACATTTGTAAACACTACGGCTTTCTCATTTCGTGAGGGGGTTTGGCGTCACAGCATCTTTGTTTCCAGGCGGAACGTTAAAGAACGCGACACACACGTCCTCCCGGAAATCCTGTATAATTCAACCAATCCGATGACGACTTCGAAACTCCTGAAGTGTTTCCACTTTTGTGTGCCACGTGCATCAGACGTTTAGCCAACGTTCCGTGGGCGTGACGTCTGAGGCTGAGACTAGTCGCCGGATAACACGGTCACCAGTTAAACCGTAACACCGGCTGAGCCACGTAAAAGGGTGGAGACTAATGTTATTCCAACCAAGCAGACTAAATGTCTTCGCGACGCCTTTCAAAGCATAAGAGCTTAATATTTTGCACTTAAAACCTATAACTAAACGTCAGTTCTGCCTCACATCACACAAATCCACTGCTGTATGTCATTTTAAACGGTTTCCGACGCAAAGCCGAGCTGACAAGGCTTGTGTAGCTGTGAAATAAGTAAAGTTTACAAACGTTTGCTTCATGTGTATGTAATAGACTGCAAAAACAGTAAAGAGAAAATGCATTATAAGCTCACTGGGGACAATTCTATACATATATGCATATTAATTCATACCATTTAATTTCATTGCACTGCTTATCCTAAACTATTTAAACTTAATAAAAAACTGTTGCACTGTCAACACTGTGGAAGAAAAGCGTATCATGCACGTGATAGCCTGGTAACAGCAGTAATACAGCATACTGTAAACAGTTAACAGCCACCCGTGCACACAATAAATGATTTAAAAGACCGTCTTCTGACCTGTTGCGTCCTGTCTGAAGGATTCACCATCACCGCCTGCCGAAAACTGTTATCCACATAGGACGCCATGGTTTTCAAAACAGTCGCGCACAACAGTTAAGTCAAATAATACAAAGCGAGTCTCACAAGTAGCTTTTTAGTGGTACAAACACGTTTTTAGATCGCAGCAACTGCAGAGGAGAGCCTGTCCCCAGGCCACAACCTAAGCCAGGAGCTCTCTTACTGTCCCTCGTCCCAATCCTACAAAACCAGAGTCTGCTTTTCCTATTCCAGCCGCTGAAGCTTCAACTGTTGTGACTTGACAGGCGATTTTGTGTCAATGAAAGGTTTTTGCAGGCAAGCGGTACGTTTATGTTTTACGCGGACGAGTGCATGTTTTTTAGCATTCCGTTTGTCCCCTGTTCGCTATTCCATCTTCTTCAGTTTTCCATTTTAAAACAAATCCATGTGCAATCCATGCGTTGGGTGATTGTCCATTTTAAGCCATTTGCAAAGCAGCGGAGGGTCAACGGCAGCATTAATAAATAGTGTTTTAGCGTCTAAACGCGACGGATGGTCTGCCGTCTGGGCTCGCTGTTGTAAACCACCACCATGGTGACCGAACGCCTCAAGAGGTTTCATGGGCGAGTCCATTCAGCACAATAATGCGCCCACAGAACAATTCAGCCACAACACATAGTGCTTTGTCTCCATCCACTGGCTGAAGACGGTATTGCAAGCTTTGAGTTATTAACTCTTATTAACACACATTTTCTGTCATCTGGCAAATCAAGACAGTCTGTGCACTGCTGACGACTCAAAAATAAATTAACATTTATTTTAACCCCTTACAACTTCACAGATGTTACAATTGGTATTAATGTTGGTTCATTGCTGGTTAGGATAGAAGAAAAGACGAGTCAGCATGATCAAAAATATCGCGCCTTTTTGTTTTCTGAATAAATTCAGTAAATAAATCTTATAATATGACACTTCCATGATGATGGAATTCAGTTATCTGAGACTCCACTAAAGTCTTATTTTTATATCAACAAAAGCAAACCGGTTTAAAGACATTGTTTGAATATCAAATATCCCATGCCTGCTGATTTGCTTTGAAAAGTAGTTTCCTTCTACAAACAAATACGTAGTCTTTGCATTTATAAACCGTTAACATCAAATCCTGCATTACATTTATGCATTTGGCAGATAGTTTTATCCAAAGCAACTAAGGCTATATTGCATTGAAAGTATACATTTTATCAGCTCATGCATTCCCTGAGAATCAAATCGACCTTGCTAGCACCATGGTTTGAGCTACAGAAATGCATCAAATGAAGCAACAAAAAAAAAAGGCTTATAAGTTTATATAATACATTTATTTCATTATTAAGTTTATGGGGCCAAAAATGATTTTAGGCTGCCAATTAGACAAAGAGATTGCTAATACAAATACTTAATTTAGGAAGGTTAGAAGTAACATGTTTGTTTGTAGATTTACACACTAGACTTCAAATATATTGTGGATTCCTTCATTTATTAATTCATTCAATCAATCAGCCTCTTGTCAGCTGCATTATATGTCTGTAGGCTATTTATTTATTATTAATTTGATTTAAATTAATTAATTTATTAGTCAAGAAGAAAACTATACATCAGATGTATGGTTTTAATTGTATAAGCCATGTACTAAATAAAATCCGTGTTGACTGACTTTAGTTTAATAAATAATCCGTATAAGTAAGATAGTATGCCTATAATCAGTGTTGGGGAAAGTTACTTTTAAAAGTAATGCATTACAATATTGCGTTACTCCATAGGTTGTGAGTGAGATGAATTAATGCATACTCATATTTATTTTAGAACTATAGTAACATCTGATTTTTTTCTCAACATGGCGACAGGAGAGCTGTTAATCAATCAATTGGAAAAAAAGTAACTTGCGTTACTTATTTGAAAAAGTAACTCAGATATTCTCTTGTAAATTAAAAAGTAATGCG